TTCGCTTGACGTCCCGAAGGATCTAATCCGTAACCGCCCTAATCCAACGGTCATCACTATATCGCATAACGTGTTCGGCCCACCTGATCTTCAATTTCTTGGCGTAAGCAACGGCATCCCGATCTTCGTCCTAGGGTTGGGGTTGGAATACCTGGAACTTCCTTTCTGCTTTTGCATCAGTTTATAGTTTTTATAGTCCTCATAAAAATAGGTTCGGTAAATGTTCCCAACAAACTTGGACATTCGTTTTTGCACGTAGTACATTTTGTTTGGGTAAAATAAAGAAATGAAAGTAATGACGTGCAAGGCTTTTAGTAATGCCACTGATGACCTAGTCACTTTTCTTTTCCCATAAATAGACTGCTGTTCCTATCTCGTACTTGCACCTCTTCTTTAGTCTAAATGTGGTTCATTGGAGCTAATATTAGAAGATCAGCTGACGGAGTTGGGTCAAAGACAAAGGATGTATTTGCTCGGGATGTCGTACTTGCTGGAGGACGACTACAAAGGGCAAACTAGGCTTACGCATCTGTGGAAGGATTAAGGAGATTGTGCTGAATAGTCTCAAGAACGGCATGTCTTCAAGCTTCTCCTTCCTGTTCTGATTCTCTTCTCCTTTAACCAGAATCCATTTGAAAGTAAGATTGTCAAACTGGAACATCATAAGAGACCCTATGTTGAAAAGTACGTTCTGGGACATTGCGGGTAAGGGGAGGAAAACTCAACTGATGATTTCATTTTTTGTCGTTTTCGCTCGGGTGAGGTTAAGGCTAGACCCATATGGTTGATTTGAGCTTGACAACAAACAGCAGCCGTCGAAGCAGGAGTTGGTTCAAGTAGTATCTATCAATGTTCTTAGCCGTAATACTCTTTGCCGATGTGAGCTTTGAAATGAGCACGATCGGGGTCTTTTGGGTACCCAAACGTCCAATTCATACCTTGAGCCCTCCCATGTACTGGTCCTCCCATTACGAACTATGAGAAGACGGCAGCTCTAAACGAATGAAAGGCTTGGTTGCCTGGGCAGGTACCAAACCAGGATTTGATTCCCAGACCATTGTGCGATAGTACGTCATTTGGCAGTACACCACTTCACTAACATTACTGCAGTGTAGAAGTAATGTCAAGCCGCTGTGCTGCTGTGAGAATGACTTTCGCCGTCTTGCTCGTTATCATAGAAATTGTTATGGTCATCTCACGTCACCGATTTGTCATGCATAATGTTTTATTTCATTCATCTACTCTTATGTTTTTTCACGCTCTCTCTAGATGTTACCGCTGAGGTAAAATTACCTAATTTAGTGGTTACTTTCAATTAGTTCACAATTCTATCTCACGCCGACAAGGGAAATGACGTGCCAGAACCCAGGATTCATTATTTCAGAGGCTACAGAAAAAAAACTTAGGAAGTGAAGAAACAAGTCATTTTAAAGTATGACGACATGAGTTACCGAACCGGCGGTGATGTGTTATTAGCAAAATTGTCAGTGAATTTATAGGTGGAAAAGGGAAAGGCATGTAAGATGAGGACATAAACAGCTTCAGAAGGAATGCCGATGTAGTTTGACGACGTGAAAGCTGTCACAGGTGTTATACTGGAGTCGAAAGGGTTGTCCATGAAGCCCCGTATTCCTTCAACATCGCGATGACGAATGCGACCAACAGAAAAATGTTGCTCGAAAAGCTTCTTTTGAAGTGAGATTTGGAAGAAAACCGTAGAAGAGGAAGGCCCCATCAAGGGAACATCGTCTCGGAGTATGCTAGACAATCTACAGAAAAGCAGGTATCATTTTCTATCTCAAGAATTCAGAGGAGCTGAGTAAAGTAAGCCACTTCAGGGCACTTTCGATTTTATGGCCATCAAAATAGTCACTACACTGAAATGCTTCAAGTACTTGAACCTCCGACCCCTTTAGAAGATTGGAATCGGTGACCAGATATCTACCTACCACTTTTCAGTAAATATAGTTAATCTCAGAGTTCGTTTCGGCTCATTTCGAATGCCTGCAGCACTTCTTTAGAAACAAAGAAGCTCAGAGAGGTAAACGGTCTGAGTAATGGAAGCTTCTTCATAGCACCAATGGCACTGAGCTGCAACGTAGCATCGACTTGAAGTGATCGACTGCGAATTCTTCTCACTGCAATCCTCCGGTCAGAAATGAACCTGGTATGGGCCTAGGGAAAGCTGATTTCTGGAAGCTCTTCTTAATCATCTCGCCACTTCCGGATCCTCTGCCAGTAAGAGTGGATGGCTGTGGTCCTGCTAGGACACTTTATCTTCGCGCCCACGAGCACTGCATTTTGCTGACCGCTGACCGGTGACCGCTCACACCTACACATAGCACCTAGTCCCACAACATACATTGAAGTTATCTCCATCAGATACTGGAAACCTCTCTGAGCAGGTTCCGAAACACCTAGGAACTTAACAATGGTCAGCGTGAGGTTGGAAAAAAGATTTTAAAGCACTATTCATCGTATATGAACTGCGTGCGTTCCCAGACAACCACGAAACATTCATGGCATCCTGACGAAGTCACAACAGAGCCGTNACCTAGGAACTTAACAATGGTCAGCGTGAGATTAGATAAAAGCTTTTAAAGCACTATTCATCGTATATGAACTGCGTGCGTTCCCAGACAACCACGAAACATTCATGGCATCCTGACGAAGTCACAACAGAGCCGTTGTGGAGCAGATTGAGACCGAACAATGAACAATAGAGGGAACCGAGGCTGCTTGGAATGAATGTGATTGACACAGTCTCGACACACANACCAGTAAGGAATTTTCCCTGACCATCCATTCTTGTCATTAACCAATAGCAAGAGATCCCTCTCGATTTTGAATTTTTGTCGACCTTTCTATGATATCTGTTGAAAACGTTTCCGTATTTGGACCAACTGCATTTGAGTAGGTGATTACTGGAAAACGCTGTGCATTCCTGTCATTTCCCTTTTTCTTTAAATCACACTTGTGACATTAAATTACCTGTAATGCGAATACAGCGACACCTTCCTCACGCCCATCCATCCCTTCACTCCACAGAGCCATCGGGCTGAGGTAGAAGATCCATCAACTAACTAACTAATTTATGTTGCGAACATGGAACATTGAAGGCACAATTCCTAAATAAAAAGGTTCATGAGATATCCTTCTGGGGTAGATCTGTGGCTCTCTCGTATATCCTATGTGGCGCTGTTGGGTTGGAGAACGGCCCAGATAGGACGTTATAAAAGCTCAAATATCGTCCCGTGTGTATGCGCGGACGAGTTTCAACGGCATTGTAGAGGCTCCACCATTCATGAAGAACCTAACTAAGATGTTCAAACAACTTGTCATGACCCACAGTGATAGTGAGAGGCAGTTCTGTACAGTTCTGACTTGATGTAGTCAGCTTTTTGCGCAATTGCAAGAACAGAAATCTCGTCCGAATACCCTTTCCGTGTCATTTCTTTGATGCTGATCTCGTACAACCTCCATTTTCCCTACTTTTGAAGAGCCATATTTTTCTTGAAATAGGCGAGTTCTCTCGATTCCTTCACTTCCGATGGACCACGCCACTTGAGACCATTTTTTGACTTAAAGAGTGACCTCAAAATTGTCGTGATTTGTGCCTTCAATACTACTCGTAAGGGTCAGAACCGCTTAATATACAGTCCATCTTTAAGGCCACATACCGTTGTCATACTTTCACAATTCACAGAGGTATTCACAACTTACATTCTGTTTACTAGTAAATCATCTTTGTCTTCCGTCATTCGTCCACGATACGCTTCGTTTTACTGTGTTCCCGTCACTTGGTGAACCTCGTACTTATTAAGCTTTAGCCACAATCAACAAGTATAAAATCATCTTCATTACAGATGTACCAACGTGAATTATTGGGGATTTTCATCGTCATTTCCATAAAGCGTTTCTTCTTACTGTCAATGGCTTACCGTAAGTTAATCATATCTTTTTATGTATTCTCTAAAAAGGGCGTTGTCATATCAACATGTGTATTCCACGTGTACGTAGACAGTAACCTAGACAGCGGATGGTACATCTAGAAGGGCACGAAAATGTCGGAAACCCATTATCTTCAGTAGTGGGATGCCCTCTTCCTCAGAAAAAGACATTTGACGCGTCGTTACCTTTCCGAATAGCACGGAAGAGGAGATTGAATTATACGTCAGTCGACTAAAATGACGACCTGAAAATTTCCTGAACTAAGATAGGGAGTAAAACGTCATTTTCAAGTTTTACTCTCTGTTTCGATAACAGTCAGCAAACATGGAATGGAGGGCAGTTTCGCCTGGATTCAGGTGGAACTGAGGGCGACAGCACTGTTAGCCCTCATGCCTTCAACTACCAATACACCCCCAAACCTGAACTACTGCCACTAACTGGAGCCATGGTGACAGGATAGCCGAGTTTCCTGCACTCACGCCCCACATTTGACATCCATTTGAAATCGCAGTGGCGTTCCAATGCGTACGTGGCTCATAGAATGAGTAACGGTGGCCACCAGATGTACAAGAAGGTGTTTTTTCTGGTACCAATTGACGTCCCAGGGGTGGAGTGGAAGGCTCAGTTGGTCTGATATCGTATCAATTAGGGATTTGGTCCCTGAACCATGTGTGGAATTGTGAGCATCATGAGCCTCCACATCACATCCTCCCTTTATTACATATGACAAAATAGCTACGTTCACTAATTGTAAGACGGAAATTTCTAGTCATTCCAACGCTCCCCTCTATAAGTGCATTCTCGCGATGCATACTGTTTCCCAAACTGTAGGGGGAAATGAGCTCAGTTCAGGTTCTCTAAGGTCTACTGTGACTTCGTCTGACTTTCAGTCAAACAGAGCAATACCCTAGGCAAGAAAGAACTGAGCCAAGTAAAGCGCTCATTGAAAAAGGCAAACAAGCCGTACTAGTTTCACTCCAATCTTGATTTTCGAAGGGATTAGAACTCGGGTCACTATCACTGAAATTTCTTTCATTGAAGGATTGCCAATGGAGCCTGAGTACGATATTCAAGACGACGATGAATTCCGCCCAATTATGCAGGTTTGTAGTAAAATTCTGGTCAAAGTTTATTCTGACATCAAACTGATCGATGAGTAGTTCTGCAAGTATAGACATAAAGATATATTATTCAACGTAATATCCTGAAAAGACTTTCTGATTTGCGAAGATGTAGTAATGTTCCGAAAAACAAGATTGGCTTTCCAGAAAAAGTCGTTAGATCTCCCAGTTCCAGAAGCAGAGCACGTCTGTCCAGTGACCATTATGAAACGACATCGACCAGATTTTGGCCACAGTAAGTCCTCTCTACTCATAACAAAAGATCGCAAACTTCTATTTTTTATGAACTCGTATAAGCTCATCTGGCATTTTATACTGTGGTTTGGTAGTTCACTTTCAAGGCTTGCCTGGAAGCTTAGAAATTATAATCAAAAGCTTTTTGGGAAGAGTCTAGCGGTTTCTCGTTATCAAAGCGAATCGAATAAAACGGTGGAACTGACGGTTGAAGAAGATTCGAGGCCTTGATTTCGCTACCTGGGCGGAGATGGTGTAGTAGCAATAGCTCAAGACGATCAAGCCTTCCTCCCTCTGGAGTCGATTACTTGCTGTCAGACGTCTTTGGGAAGATAGGAACGGTCATTGATTAGGCCGTCTTCTAGATCACTGTGATTCTAAATGGAGTTTGAGTGTGGATAGCATCCCAAAACGGAAGTGAAAAAGCTAGAAAGACCTATGCTATTGAGGCTTTACTTCTCAGCATACGCCTGAAATGAAGCTCGATTGTGTGGATCTTGTTAATTTGTTCTGAGATTTATAGAAAATCCAAAATTTCGAATTTTTCAGTGGGCAATGGAAGTTTCGTTGAAGTACAACAGGACTCAGAACACAGTTTTGAGGCGACATTCGTTGAGTGCACAAACGGTCATCACAGACCGTCATGTCATGGAATTGATACCTTCACGTACGTTCATTCGATACTCTTCGAAAAGTCATGTCTTTAGCTCCAAAGGTTCAGTTAAGCTACCTCAATAATCCCTTATACATGGAATGACCTTCGATTATAATCATGTGAAGCATGCATGGCGCAAACTTGGCGAATCCATCAGCGTCGGGGACTTCCTATCTGCTTCTTCAACAACTTATTTTAGGTTTTCTTCTGAATGTGTTACGATGTACGAATGGCGATCAGCCCATGTACGACTACCAGGCTCAAGTGTCGACTTTGTGCCTGCTCTCATCAAGGTAATTACCTAATCTCTTCCTCAACTCCACAAACTCACCGAATCCCACATCAGCAGAAGTCCCCACTGAAGGTGAAAGTGCTTATCTCCACTGAACACATCTGTTCTTTAGCACAATTCAAATCTAAGCTGGTCATTGTGTTTCACCTATCTCCCTTCTTTCAATTCGCATCCATTACGCGGATTAAGCTTTATGTTGCCATAAAAATGGCATTTTATGGGATAAACTAACATAAAAGGAAGTCAGATGACTCCCAATTCCTCGGGCTTAGTTTGAGATCGTGTAAAATGTCCTGAACTGAGAACATTCTCTCACAACAATAGTACTAACGTATCTCGATCCAAAAAATGGAAATCCGAGCGGACCTCACTATGGCAATTCAAGGGCACAAAAGTTCAGAGTTTAAAGTTTTTGGCGTTAATCAATCCCGTCTGAGGGATGCGCCCTCGCACTCGACTTCCATTCAGAATCGTAGTGGCGTAATGAGTGCGTATGTGGCCTATACAATGACTTGCGGTGGCCAGCCGATATGCAAGTCAGTGTTTTTATCCTCTCAAACGAGTCTGAAACCCATTCACCGACCCCGTAGGCATGGAGGGCTTTGTTGGCCTAGGCGGGCATCGATCCGGAATTCGAACCCCTGGCCGTGCGTATGATAAAGTGCGCCGCTTGCCACTACACCACCTCCGCCCCACATAAGTTTGTGGTAGATTAACTGCCACCATATGGACCAGGACACACGAGCACGGTAAAAGAACATTTTAGTGGTCTTGACCTTAATTAAATAATCGCAATCTTAATCACACGATGGCATTAAATGGCTATTAAAGTGAAACAAAGTCGTACAATGGGTCTTCTAGCACTTCCTTCAGCGGCGGATGTGCGCGAACGCGAATTCGAGACTCTAACTCCAAGCAGGCCCCGAGCAGGCCAACAGCGCTTCTTTTGAAGGTTTATACCCGAAGCTGAAACCACGTTAGCCGTGACAACGTCGTATATAGACCCATCAGATAACTGACTTCCCTTGTATCACCTGTGTCAACGATCGTTTCGCTCACCATCGATTTGTTGGAAGAACGCCAACAACGTTTCCAGTTGTCCCTGTCGCGAGCCCGACATAGCATTTCTTTCGTTAAAAGCTTTTGCGAAGAAGTCTGACCATAGCGCTAGCGGCCTTTCTGGTGTTCGCTTGACGTCCGAAAGGCTAGAGTAAGCGACCGGATTGGTTAGGGGTCATCACAAAATCGTGAGCCATGTCCGGCTCAACTACTTGGCGTTAGCAACTGCATCCCAGATGTTGCTCCTGTGACAGAGCTTGAGATTGATTCCCTAATGTATAGTCGCGGATCGAAACCCGCCTAGGTTATCCAAGCTTTCCAACCCTTCAGGGTCAGTTCATTGGTGCCAGACCCTTCCGGGAGCAAGGCTACGATTCTAAATGGAAGTTGAATGTGTGGGCGCGATCCCTTGAAGGGAATGGAATAACAGGCTAAAACTTTATCCTTTGTCCTTTACGTATAACCTTCAACACCCGACGACCAGCTTCTCCTACAACAAACATTTTAATGTACATGGCGCTCTATGGTCGTATGCGTACTATTTTCTACTTGTTTCAGATTCCAATTGCTTGCCAGTGTCGGCTAATCAGAAAACTACAACCGTTCGCCAGAAGACTGTTCACCCTGATCACGTCGTGAGATCGGGATTCTATCACAGCATGCAGACCGATGAGCTGCAGCTAGGTGCTTAGATTATGGCCAGCCATATTGAAATGAGATGATCTTCTACGTTGCTCTGTAAATACCAGTGATTTTTCCGAAAATGATCTCATTCTTAATATCCCAGACTTTACATATCAGTGATGTCCCCACCCTTTTCATTTTCTGGCAAGTCTTAGGGACATATTCATATTGCGGGGCGCCCAGGTTTTTCTTGTCATTTTTGTTGTATTATGTGTTGAATGAAGATAGGGCTAGGCTTGATCCACCTAATCTTCTATTTACAATATCAAGTTCAAGTTTACAGTACAAGTCCACGAAATGTCCAAGAACAATTCACAAACAATATGGAGGAAGACCCTCAGATAAGTGAAGGATAAAGAGGATACTTTTAGCGTTGAACAACCGTGTTTTGAGATGCGCACCGCACTCGACCTTCATTCAGTGACGTAGCAGCAGTTTGAATGTGTATGTGGTTTATATAACTCACAGCGACGAGCCAAGCCTTATATTCTCTCAGACGAGTCTGGAACCGCTTAACCGAGCACAGGGATATGTAAGGCTTGGCTGGTTCGTGTAGTAGTGCGTCACCTGGTTCTTCATCACCTCTACCCACCAAATACGTACGCTGTTTGAAATGGGCTGAAATGGAGCAATGCTAAGTGGTGTCACAATTGGAATTGGTGAAAGAAATGCCATGCGATGTGGAGCTGGCTTCGGGAAAGTGACACATGCCAGTGCCACGAGGATCACTTCTCCGGTACCAATTCTCAAAATAATATGCGCTCAAACTCTCTACGCTTCCTATCCCATAAAGTCATTGTGTCGGGCGGAGTGGGTTCAAATGAAAACAGTTATCACATGTGTCACCTATCGTCCCGTCGATCATCGGCTTCCTCGAGCAGGCGCCAGTAATTTCTCCATTCGTCCCGGTAACGATCCAGAGTGGTCCAGTGAACTGTTCTAGTTTCAGGGACACGAGGTCCAACATTCCTTTCGTTCAGAGCTTTCGTGAAGAAGTCTGACCATCTCGTTGGCAGCCGTCCTGGAGTTCGTTTAATGTCACGAGGGATCCAGTCAGTAACTATCCTGGTCCAACGGTAATCGCTATATTGCGTGACGTGCCCTGCCCGTCTGATTTTCGATTTCTAGACGTATTCAAGGGCATACCTGATCTTCATTCGATGACGGAGCTCAGAGCTTTGGATTTCCTTCTGCACTTGCGTGTATAGTGAAATCCCGAGAGTCGTCATTTCCAAAGGGTGTTGAGTAACGCTGACAGCATGCTCATCCTGCTTTCATAGAGTCCAAGTCTACGAGGCGTATAACTGTTTTACTGTTACGCCTCAGAAACAGTAAAACAGTTACACACGCAAATAATGAAACGATAACCTAAAATCGGATGAAAGGCATGTTGGGTGAAATTTTAAGGTTTATTGGGATTTTGCACGAATCACTACCAGTAGCAAAAACATGTATGTATCCCAACTGAAAAAGCTACAAGCCAGTAATTTAGACACCTATTCATAGCAGGATAATGACAACTTCGGAAAATCACAAAATATCACATAATTGATTGCAAGCATATAATTCTCGTTGTAAATTACATCTAAACTCAAGAAAACAGAGAATTGATGGAATTTCAGGAGAGGAACTCGTTTCACTCGGATATTATCACAAAGTTGTAAGCGAACTCGAAACAACAATAGCAGCCATCTGGTGGATTAACAGAAAATCTTGAGTAAAATCTCATTTGCAAAGCATAAAAAAACAAAGGAACACCGGCAAGAGATAAAAGAGAGAGCGGTAAAGTACAGAAACTATTGGTGATGGGGCATCTTCTGAACAACACTCTATTTTGCTCACTATCAGACTTAGGCTTTACAAAAAAACATCTTCAGAGCTCTCGTAATTCAAAATGGTTCGCTCACAACTCCACTAACTGCTGCAACCGTAACCCCACTTCGGAAGAATAAATACGATTTCTGAGCCCATTTCTGGGGACCGACGGAGACAAAATCGTCGCGTTGAACGGCCAGTAATGCAAGTTTGGGATATATTTGTAGCAATGTCATAAAAGAGCAATTCAGCTAACATTACATATAAAATGGGCGAAGATCGTACTCAAAGATTGGAGAGCGATAGAGCCCAATAATGTCTGCTTTCCATAGCGGCATGAAGGGGATGAAAAACGCTGCTGATTTAGTATTTTAAATAGGGATTTAAATCTGTCGAGTTTCAGCTCGAATTTGTCGAGTTTCAGCTCGACCAAGCGAAGCAGCATTGACATACCGAAAGGGGGAATCGTATTATAGGGAATACGCAGAAGAGCATAAGAAGTCACAAGGTAGGCCAGTTGTGAGTAAAATGCTAAGTTTCGGACGGGACTTGAACCCTAATTGTGCATCTACTCTTTTGAGACAAATACATTAAGCCCCAACATTGAAAAGTTTTCAACGTTCCAAGGTCTGTGCCGATTTAATGGGTGATTGGCGTAGCACTGCACGATTTTCCTTATTCAAAAAAAAGGAAAATATAAAGACAAAAGTTTAGCAATGACCTCAAAACGCCTGGAATGGTATGAAAACGCCAAGGTTGTGACGATGCCCTATCTTCACGACATAACGACCGAATTAAGGACCACCACTGTTTCTTCACTATTATCGAAGAAAACGTATAAAATTAATAGTTAATAGCATGTATTTCAGCACTACTTACGAGTTCATTTTGAAAAGGCAAGTTGACTGTATTCCCAGTCATTCGTTGCAATATGAAACTCATTTGAACTGCATGGCCCAACCAAAGCAAAGCTATCTTACACCACAAGCAGCTGCATCACAGCCCTAAGCCAAGCTGAAGGGTGGGAAATTTGAAATTAAACTCGTTTTTTACTTTGGGAAACAGTAGAGAATACCGTTAGTTGGGTGTTACCGGAGGGAACGTTCTACGAAGAAGTAAACGTTATGATAAAGCATGGCATATACTTAAGCAGAAGACTAGGGAATAAGTTAAAATGGCCACGAATCATTTCCCACCCAATCTTGGTCTTTTGAAAAAATAATAGACAAAAATACAGGGTACAAAGCAGTAGATAAATAAATCGCGTAAGTCCATCTTAACTTTTGTGAACAAATCGTTGTAGAACGCAATCACCCTCTACCGTGATCCTGTCGATTAGCGCAGGGTTATCTCCTGAGCGATATGCAAACTTAATGAATGGTGATCCATCGACATCAACCTGGAAAAGTAGAACTTCGTACATTTCCTAAAAGTTTGACGCATTACAATACGAGTTACTCACAGCTACTGTGGATCCATACGCTACGAAAAGAATATCGGAAGTGATGCCTTTCGAGAAAGGAAAGGTCGTGATTTGTCGTTCCTCTGTCTGCCAATTATAGTTCCGAGTGCTATTGCGTATAACTGCTTCCTAGAATTATTTTTACTTCAGAATTTATATTCCGTGTGACAAAACGTACTATCACGTTTCGAAAAAAAGAAATATGTTCGTAGACAGACGTAGGAAGTGACAGGATGAGAAATATAAAAAGAAAGGAATATATGTCGGAAATTGATGTTAATTAAAATCTCAACTACTTGCATTCAAACAGTTATGTACAGAATATAAAACCACTGGACCTGGCCGTATCCTGAAGATGGGCTTCAGCCAAATCTAACTCTTACCCTCAATTCACTCTTCACGAATCAACTTCTTGAAGGGAGCTCTTCAAGATCGTTACAGATTTGAACAGCGGTTGTTACTACATAGTAAGTCTACTATAGGCCAGTGGCTATCTGAGAATCTCGCTATCATAGTTGTGAGCCAACTGTGCTCACGTGTTTCCAAAGGAACCAGTTGGTCTTAGCCAAACAATTAATTGACAATTTCGCCTATGGAGGATGGTTTTGTGCATTCTAAAGAATGAATGTTGACCAGCACTCGGGGATAATGACATGAAACTTCGTGGAGCTGCCAGTCTTCATGGAGGGTTTGATGTTTAGAATCAATCGCATCACGATGCCGTTGGTATCCTGAACGCAGGCAAGAGACAAGACGCAATGTAGGATTCGTCACGCAGACATGGTCACTGCATCGAAAGACTATGGCTACGCTAAAGCTATGATCTGCTGTCACGGCCGACTTTCAGCGATTCCCAGTCATTCAGCAGACTTAAAGGCACCGTTTACGATAAATTTAGGGTACCCTTTTTAGACGGGAGTTCATAGAACTACTCTAGAATAAAGCGATAACAACGAAAAAAGCGCAAAAAACGATGAACAAAAAGAAATAGAAAGGGTCAAAAAAGAGCTGGAAAGGGGGCTGGACGAGTTTCACATTGGAAGAACGGCGGTTAAGGGAGTGTTCGGGCGAGTGCACGAAGGCGACGCAATGTTTGCAATAGCAGATAACACACCCAAGCAGACAACCTCCAATGCGAATGTGGTGAAGGACA